GAGCAGCAGAGGACTTTTTTCTTTTTCTTTTTTTTTTTTTTTTTCTTTTCCACCAGAAATGGAAATCCCACAAGAAAGTGGCAATGCTTTTGAAGGCATTGGCTAGCTGAAGACAAGCTAGGTCAGCCCTGCTAGCTGGATTTTGGCTCCATATGCAGAGTACACATTGGGTGGCATCCTGAGAAATGGGTTTGTCCATTCTAAACTGAATGACTCAAAGAGAGTCTTTTAATAGCCCAAATCTGAATCTGCAGTAGATCAACGATGGCTGAAATACTTCATGTCTAGGGTTGTGCAATGGCCTCACATGAAACAAGCAGTCTCAAGTCACTTCCCTATGTAGCATATGGCAAACCCAGCAGAACTTCAACCTGCAGGGACTGCTGGTATTGCAGAGAAATGAGTAGATGAGGTTTTTTTTGTGGGCTCCTTATTTAGCTGGAAAGGTTTTTCTCTTAGATGCTGTCCTGATATCTTTCATTCACTGGCCAGACACTTTTGGATTAAAGGAGCACAGTCAGGGAGATGCTAAACTGCAGTGGAAATCTGATTCCATCCCCTGAAAAGCAATGTTTGGTTTGGAAACCAGGGCGAGAGAACAGAGTTATAAACAGAGTTGGCCAGGAATTTTTCAACAAAATCGGTCTTTCATCTGACACAGCTGATTTACTGAAATCAAATTATTTGTGGAAATGTGAGGGGTCCAGTCTGAGTTCACCTGACTCAGGCAAGTGCTCTACACTTCCGCTTCTTCCCCCTCTCTTTTGCCTAATGAATATTTAATTGCTGATTATAAAACAAAACAGCATCAACAGGAGAGAAATTTCCCCTGCTCCTAAAATAACCAACAGTCCTTCTGTGAGGGTGTGCCCTTCAGATTAGAGAGACAAAAGATCAAGTGCCTCCTTCAGAACAGGCAGAACAGAGGGCTTTAGGTTAAATCCCTCATTTCTGACTCCCATTTCAAGGGGCAAATCTGCTGTTAGGTATTTTGAGACACTGTCACTTTCCAATTTTTGTAACAGAAAGTTCAAGAGTCCTATTTTTGTTCCATCCTAAAACACAAAACATTACAAAACATCAAAACTTTGCAGAACGGAAATCTTATTTTCTAGCCAGTCCTAGTTACAAAGTTCCTGGGTTGGTTTTTTTTTTTTTTCAATTACATCCAAAAGACAATCAAGTCAATATGATTTCCATTTCAACTTCGTAAATAAGAAAATAAGATTCCTAAGGGTCTTGGTTTGGCAAGGTTTAAAGGACTTAGAAAAGTTTTTTTTTGTTTTTTTTCTTCTAGTATGGGGCTCTGTTTGCTATTCTTGAATAGTTTTAATGAAAACCGTTCTATTTAAACGGAATTAGGCTACCTATTTTCCTTGTTTCACATCTACCAAAATAATCTGCATTGATGTTGAAAGGCAGGTCTCTCTTGAAATGCAAATTTTCCTCATAAACAACAAAATCATCTCTCTAAGTTTTGTGAGCAAGGGGCACTCAGAAGCACTCTGTTACTTCAAAGGAAGCTGGGCATAAGTAACTCACCTGACCCGTTTCTTCAAACCTCTTCCTATCTGCACTGTCAATGACATAGATCTGAAAAAGAAATGAGGGGAAAAAGTTACTTTTCCCAGAAGACGCTCTTCCTTAGTATCATATAAATGAGCTAAGCCTAATAATTATGGTTTTGGGCACAAAGATACTTAGTATTATTTATATACCAAGTGTTGTCTAAACGTCATGATGTTTTGCCAGGAACCTCCTTTTTTAAAACCCAAGGGAGTGGACAGCCATGTGGTTAGGATCAGAAGGTTGCTTGTGGCAGTACTGGGGATGCTCTTACCAGTTCCATGTTATCTGAAGAGAACAGGAGACTGCCTGGCATCATTGCAAATGGCCAGCTTACAGGCTGGAGCTGAGTACAGGATGGCAAAACGTGGGGATCCAGACATGGTCATTCACCCTAGCAAACAGTGCCCAAGCTCTGCAGAGCTGTGAATAGACCAAGCTGCTTTCTAGCAGAACATGTCACCTTCTCATAAGCCAACAAGGCACATAATAGTGCTCAGGGGACAGATGAAGTTTGAATATATTGGTGACATTGAGTTTCTGTCCTACCATGACCTCCTGGGACAGGTGGCTGGATCCAGCTTGCAAGACTCTGTCTTCAGCTGTCAGCTTGTCCTTAAGGTGGCAGAGGAGACAGGCCGAAGCTGGCTCCCAGAGTCTGACCGCAGAGCTCTTCCATCTCCTCAGAGCTGGGCACTACGTGTCAGTCTGAGAGGAGGTCCCAGGCAGACATCTGTCCCTGGGTGAGAGTGGTTCTCCAGCCTGCAGACTCCCTGCCTTTGGAGAGGGTCCCTGCCCTCTCCAGCAGCATGCCGTGTCCTGCTTTCCTTTTTTTAAATGCCTTCTGCACAGGCTAAAAGGCTCCTCAAAGACCCCACAAGATGAGGGATTAGTAAATCCAGTCACCCCTCCTCCTTCCCTCCAGCAGTGCTACCGCAATTCAGAAAGCACACATAGCAAACTACACGTAAAGAAACCGGGGAACCTCTATATAACATCCAGGCAAGAATCACCTCATCTTATAGGAAGGGGAAGGTTGCTGGGGCAGCAGACAGGGACAGGACTGGTGATAAACACTGAGTCTTTCGCTTCCAGCCCCTGCCATTCTTCATCAGTGCTGACTGAAGCTGCTAGGATGTCATATGCATGCTCTTGGGTGGCTACAGGGAGCAAGTGTCAGCATGGTTTTGAGGGAATAGATGAGCACAGCACCCTGCCATCAAGATAAATGGCATCCTTGCAGGCAGTTTCAGCGCAAGACTCCATGCTTCCAGGATAATTCTGACCAAACAGTAGGGGGAGGGAAGATCTCTAGCAGCACTGTCTACTAAACTGTAGGTACGCCCTTAGCGAGCAGTGCTAGGGCTGTTTAAAATGGGACCAGATGAATGGTAGGAGAATCTGTGTGCCAGCCTTGAGAAGGAGGAATCTCTGCAGGCTCACTGGCCTGTTAGTTGATCAGCTGGGATCTGTGGTCCTCCCTGTGGCTGATGAACACTGAGAGAGCCTATGGATACATAGCAGGGCTGGACACAGCTGTGCAGGGACACGGCAGTAATGCACGTGCCTGGTGCCACGTGATGGGGAAAGGCCCACGGGCATGCGTGACACAGCCTCTCCCTGCAATGTGATCCCAAAAGTACTGCATCAGCTACACCTGTCCTCTCTGTCCAAAGCACCCACCCCTGTGCATCCCATTTGAGGTAGAAAGCGTGGTCTAGAAAGAAAGAAGGAAGATGTGGAGTGGTGGTTGTGAAACTTGATTATCATCTTTCCCCCTTCAAGACATCTCAGGGGAAGCTTAGCAACGCATGAATGCAATAGTAGAGCACTATTTCTTAGATAAAAGGTTACACCTTGCATATTATGGTGCTTTTCTAACTGGCAAGGAAGAGCCCCATGCCACAGCCAGCCAGGCTTTCTCCTGCACCTCTCTGTTTCTTGCTAGGGACCTACCTTGCAAGATGAGAACTGGAGACACAGCGCTCAGGGCAAAAGCCACAAAAGCACAGCAGAGAAGATGAAGTATGTGCAGAGTGCCTACTTCCAAACCAGAAACCACTGTGCCAAATAGCTGCAGGTGCCTGTCTGAATATGCAATCAGCCAGATATCCACACCTTATTTGCCTGGGTTAAGCTTCCAAATATCACAGGTGTGTGATGCAAGACCTAGCTCTCATTCAAAGGCACCTGCATGGATTTGAATTTGCAATCACTTCCTGCTTTTTAATACTTCTTAAAGGGTCCTTTCTACTTTGTGCAATATATTTTAGGAGAAGACAGAAGCAGGGGGTCCTGGGAACTGTGGCATATCTTATTTCCATCTTTCTTCTGAAGCGAGGCCCACACAAGGCTTGCTTCTGGCTCTAGTGTTTTGTAACATGATTCGCTAGTTTGAGCAGCCCTCAAGTAGCGTAATGAGAAAGAGACACATGTGAGGTGTCTCCTTTGAGGAGCAGGCCTAAACAAAACCTGGAGTAAGTGAGCTGGGCAGAAATTGCAAGTGATGGGGCTGGATGAGGGAATAATACAAGGGATAAGTTAGCTCAATTTACAGAGGCATGACCTGCATCAGGTTTGCAAGAGGAGATGAATTACTGACTGTAAGGGGTGCAAGAGCTGGTAAAAGAACTTGATCTTACCTTTTTTGCTATCCCAGTTTTGGTGCATATGGACGTGGCTAAGCACTGCACTAACATGGAGACGGCTCTCAGTCCAGGACTGGCTGCTAGCTGGCCAGTAGGGAGTGCAGGCTCATGTCCACATACGCATCAGTTACTCCCTCTCTGAATTCACACTGCTGCTTCCCTCCAAACTGACTCTGGTTCTACCAACTATCTTATTCGTATAAAAAGAAAGGTTTTCTCTGCACGTTGCTTTAGCTAGAGTGGGAGGAGGACTGGAACACAGCTGTATTCATCTCCTGTCTTTGAATTCACCTTTATTTCCACACCTCTCATGCAGCACACCCTGGGAAGGGGGGAAGACCACAGACCAAGATAGCTCATTGCTTTGCCAGCAGAGCCTCACAGGCACTGTTTTGCAGTTGTACAGCCTCTGCAGTCTGAACAGCGGCTGTAGCAAAGATTCCCTAGCTGCTGCTTTGCAGTGTTGACTTTGATTTGCAAATCTACATTCACCTCACCAGCAACTGCAGAGCTCAGATCCAGTGGGCATGATAGCCCTGCAGCCATGCCATGTTTTCTTGATGGCCACAGAAGAGTATGTGTTCTTTGTCCTGCTAGTTTTTTCAAACACAGATTTTCTCTTTTTAAGATTACACCATTACTCCCTGAAAAAGCAACCACTCAGGTTTATGCCCCTTCAAACATCAGACTGCAAATTAACACTGGAAGAAGAGAATCTGGAGAAGAGACTAGGGGACTTTTTAGACCTATTTAAATAGCATATTCATTTGGACAATGTTTTCTAAGCCTGCAGGTACAGCCAGACCCTTCAGGACCCTTATGTGAGCCTCGGAGCAAAAAGCCCTACTTCTAGTTGCACTGATCCTACTATGGAGGTGAACTGAAGCTCCCAGCAAGTCAGTGAGTATGGATGTGTGTAATACAGAAGGGAGGAAGGGCGTCTTTCAGAGAAAGCTTCCTGCTTTCCCATGGGAGCCTGTAGACCTTGCTTAGAATGGCTTTTTCTCTGCTCTCACTGGCAGTGCTGCTTGGCAGGGGGGTGGGCCTGGAGCCCCCAGACTGTCTCCATCCTGCCACGTGTGGCTGCATGTTAGAGGTACTCTTTGAAACTAGTCAGGACAGCACTTAGAAGGTCCCGGGGTAACGTGCTCTGGCATGGTCCTGCAGTGTAATTATAATGGTAGTCAACTGTAGCTAATTGTAAGGTAACTGCAGCTAAGATGTCAAAAACATTAAAGGACGGTGTAATGATGAAAGGACCAAAGGAAAAGACAAGGGGTCTCTCTGTGCCCCTCAGCCAGAAGCCTTCCTATCTGATGCCAGACACAACATTTAACTCTTCTGTGCTTCAGTTTCCCCAGCCATAAAAAAGGCACCATTCTGACCCACCTCCATACATGAGGCTTAAGTCGCTCATACCCATGATGGGCTTTTGGGAGTCTCCAGTGAAAGGAGCCATAGATGGGCAAACTACAAGTAACTGATGTTCACTTTTTTGAAAGAGCCTGAGATGAGAGGAAAGGAACTGGCCACAGCCAGCACCATCCCATGGAAGTAAAAACATACAACTGAACGATTTCTCCAAACATCACTGCATTTTTCTTAGTGCACCCAACCAATCTTGCCATTTCACTCGGAATAACTCCTGTTACAATGGCAATGGTGTTGCTGAGAACGGGGACATTACACTGCTTGTTCCTTTCTGGCCAAGACCATGGATTATATGAACACAGCATTCAACTGCAGCCAGTACTTACAAGGATATCAGTGTTTTCAAAATAGTTCCTCCAGTACGGCCTGATCTTCCTCTGTCCGCCTATGTCCCATACGTTCAGCTTGAAGCCTTGAGACTGAACGCTTTTGATGTTAAAGCCCTGGAAAGAGCAGAAACAAAGGCACATAGAGCATAAACCTGAACGGCTGGATCAGATTCACAGGCAGACATTAGCACCTTATATATCCTGTGCCTGCACCATGCTGTGAGATGGGCAGGCAGCCACAAAGATGGATCGGCTGCAGGAGAGGCACTGGTGAAAATGAACACAGCCACTAAACCATCAGCTTGCCTGTGTTCCTGGGTCAAGGGTTGACGCTGTCATGGCTACGGAAACATATGATGCAGTTAGTACCCTGGAAAGGCTCAGCAGGGTGGGTGCAGGAAGAGGTGGGAGAGCTGCAGATAAGGAGAAAACAAGGGCACTGTGAGAAGCAGGATTGAGCTTGTGAAAGCTGAGTAGAGAGTCCCAGCTAACGTGAAGCCAGAGGTCTCAGCTCAATTCGACACAACGCAACTAATGTCGGGCTTAAAAGAGCAACAGCTGCATGTCTGAAGGGTCCATTTCATCAATTAAAGCACCAACTGAAAGGGCATTCAAGTAGAAAAACAGGATGTGGTGTGGGTTGGCAACGTGCTGCCGCAAGACCCAGGGGACTGGGACTTGGAATTAGGGTGTTGGAGCTGGGAGCTTTGCAAGGCAACTACAGGGTGGGGGGAAGCATCTCCCATAGCTCTCTAGCAACCTCCTCTGGTCAACACAGGAGCAGTGCTGCAGTATTTCTGATGGGTGACTTCTCTCTCCCCAACCTTCATGCTTCACGAAAGGGGGCTGGAGGTACCAGAGGGGGAACGATGGAATATACAGGATGTCTGGAGTTGTCTGGTTGTAAAACAAAAGGCCTTCCTCACCTGTGTTGGTGTGATGTGGCTTATGTCCTCAGACGCCAACTGTTTCAGGAGTGTAGTCTTGCCTGCATTATCCAGTCCCAAGAGGAGGATCCTCACCTCCTGGTCTGGGGTGCTTTTCAGTTTACGCAGGATTGACAGTAAACCCTAAATTAGCAAGAGAGACTGTAGTTGTTATTTCCCCTCTGACTTTCCCCGCCAGGCTGTGCTCCCCAGGTTCTGTTCAGTGCTGGATCCCAGGACAGGCTGAACCCCTTCCCTCTTCCCGGTTCCTCTCCTACTCTTCCCCCTCCCCACAATTCTCCTTCATCTCCAAGAGCATCAGTGAGGTCTCAGACAGCACAAATGCCACTCAGTGGGGTGCACCACTGGCTGCATCGCTCATGTCACACAGCTGTTTGGCACTGCCTGTGCCAGGAAGACAGTGCCTAAGGATATTACATATAGGAGCTGCAAACCAAGTCCTTGCGAGCTCTTCATTATCTTTATCAGAGGGAAAACCCCATTAATTTAATCTCCCTTCTGGTTAACTGTAGGTTACGGCATACCTGACATCAGTTCTTTTCATAGTAACTCCCTGATCATCTCAAACCCCGTTTATCTGTCTAAAACATGCCGGACCCATGGGGCACGTGCAGTTCTGATTCTCAGGATGTAGCACTTAACAGCTATCTCAGATCACCACACGTCCTCGCTAAGAAAAGCACAGTGGATTTCAGTCATTAGCCAGGCTCAGCTCTCTGAGCTGACAGTATCACTCAGGATTAGGAAACAGAATATGCAGGTCAGCTCATTTACAACTGTGCACGTTACAGCAGCACACCCAAGCTTTTGTCAGAGACCTGCACCTCTCTGAAATGGATGAAAAATGGTCCAGATCCTGATGTGTAACCAAGAGGAGCAAATCACTCTGCTTCCATCTGGACCTCAGCCCTGCAGGAGAAGGGCTGAGATACATGGATGCTCCTGCAGCTTGTTTGCCTGGGCAAACCCCAAGGAAAAATGCACCCACAGCTCCTTCTGGAGCCTTCGGGATCCTGCTCAGCCTCCCACAGACAATTTCCATGTCTCGAAGGGCAATCATGAAAATGAAGTTCAGATATCAGCACAAACCCAGGCCATGGGGGCCCGCGTCTCAAGCAGTTTTGTTCTCCCATTTGCAAAACGGAGATGACAATTCTTGTCGACCTGCAAGGGCAAATTAGCTAAATGTCACAAAGTGCTTTGTTGCTAAGAGGAACTACGCCCTCTAAATATTCCTGCTGGGAGCCGAGGACTATCTGAGCCATAAGGGTTACTCCTTATCCCCTCCTGATCAAGCAATCAGAAACCTGTCCTTAGGATGAAGGGCTGCAGGACTGCTGTCGCAGCGCTGTGCTGCTGCAGCACAAAGGGCAGTTTGGAAAGGACGTGGCACTACCCATCATGATGTCAAAGCTTTCGTTGCATGGTGTGAAAATATACCCAGATCCAAACACAGGTTAGATTTGATCCATCCCCTTCAAGCATTTCAGATTTGGAAGTAATTTGTTGGCTACCCATTTAATTAGCAGATGCAGCTCAAATACACAATTCGAAAGAAGAGGAGGAACTTACTGAAACTGTGTTTGCTGGATATTTGTAGGATGCTGCACGGCTGCCATTGTGACTGCGCTTTTGTGGAAAGCTGAGGGTCAGATATTCAGAGCTCATGCACAGAACCACAGCAGCAGAAGTGAAATCTTACCCTTGAGCTGCATCACCGGCACCATAAACAGGCTGCTAAACACCTGGGAAGCCAGGCCCAGCTCAAGGTGCTAATCAGGAGCAGGCTCTGCTTGCCGGCGGTCAATGCCCACACGCACTGCCTGCAGCCTGGGCTGTGACACCCTGGGCTAGGCTGGGTGCCCACAGCTGGCTCTGTGCAGCCACAGCGGGCGGATGGGCCGTGCTGTGTGGGTGCAGGCAGCTCCCCAGCCCGGCAATGCTGGGGTGGAGGGCAGGGAAAATGCCCAGCAATGGGATGGGCTCCAGTGCTTGTATGCACTTGACGTCATTAAAACATGCAAGTTGTAATTGCCCGACTTGCACCGCACGTTTTTTCACCTGCAGTCAGATTTATGGCTGTATTTGTTGGCTTTTAAATACGCAGAGCCAAGCTCCCCACGAGAGCAGGAACTCTAAAATTCACACATTTTACCCCCTTCCCAGGAAACGCTGTGAATTTCCCATTCCTACATGCTGGCCCAAGCCAACACAGACCCATCAAAGAGCTGCTGCCGACTTCAGAGGGCTCTGAACTAGGCCCCATTATTTCAGTTTATTGCTCGTGGTTAAAAAAAGAAGTTGTTGCAATGCTAATCCTATTCTCAGCACTGCTAAGAGTGGAGCGGTGCAGCCCAGAGCAGATCAGGATTAGGAGATGCTATGTTTCAGAATTCAACTCCGAAACAGCGAGCGCAAAGCAATGTATTACCAAGTGTTGCTTATCTACCAGGGAGCAATTCCCAGGGGTCGGGAAGAGGAACTGTTATAAATGTTAATAGAGCTGCTCCCATTGTAGACAGATGCTATTTCTGGGCCAGTATGACAGCCTACGAGAGAACGATCAGCATCGCTCCATATTCTGCTCGAGTGACATGCGGCACGGCTGATCGCAGGATTATCTGGGGTAGCCAATGGATGGGAGGATATTTATAGAAATAAAAGTATTCTCTAAGGTATAAAGTAAGCTGATTTAAAAGGCTGGAAGACAAGCAGGCCAACACAGAGAGGTGGACTCTATCTCAGTAGCCGCCAGCATAGGTTACATGGTTTGTGTACACAGCTTGAATCAAGAGCCAAGTAATAGCCCAGGCCGCTGTGATTAGTAGTATTTTGTAAATATTATTAAAAACTGGCACTCAGCATTTTCTCCCTAGTTAGTGAATGCTTAAGGTTAAGTAAAGCTAGGCACAGACTGGTTTCTAATACACTTACTATTTTTTTTTTAATTGGTGTTATGAGCATACTAGTTAGGAAGACAGAAAGCATTTCCTGACAGCTTGGTAGACTGGAAAAAATAACTCAGCTGAGTTCCTTGCAGCATGTAGGCACTACAAGGGACAAGCAACCCTCCCAGCACACATGCTGCTGGATTAGCATCTCCGTGCTTGCAGACACAGTGCTGAAACCAACTTGGTCCAATGAGAGACAAGAAACAACTACTTGGTATCCATGGTGGACATCAGGTAGAAAAGCCAGCAAATGGTGGTGCAAAGGGGAGACTCAAATGCCAAGGGAGAGGAGCATGGCCTTGAGGCAGTGCAGCAAGCAAACGTACCCTGAGCAAGGAGGGAGCACACGTGGGGTGAGGAGCAAGACGGGTCCTGGCAGAGGAGCTGTGGGGATGGCTGCAGGAGTGCAAGGGCAGCATGGCATTTGCACAAACTAAGCAGGCTGCAGCATCTGTAACACAGAAGGGAACTGCAGATGCTGTTTGGGTAATGAGCAGCACAGCATGGCAGCGCATGCAGCCTTTGGAGAAGAGCAACCATAGGGAGCAACTCAAGGCAGGGCATGGCCAGCCAGCGACAGCCGCTTGGTCACCTCAGAGTTAAGCAAACTATGTTTTGTATGTCAGGTCGGCTTGTTTAAAAACATCATTATCCTTGGTGGAGAGGGCTTTCTTTACAAGCACCGTGAGGAGACAGACTGATGGGGTCAGCAACAAGAAGGCGGCAT